TAATTAAATGAGTGCTAAGTCTTTTCCTTATAAGTTTGTTGTTTTGGTATATTGTAATTACAATTTCCTATATAATTTTTTGATAGAATTTGAATTTTCCTTGTTGTAATTTTTGATTTCTAACTTTTAATTTTGATTCTTTTTATTCAGTTTCGTTTTGGATTTATTCCATTTAGTGATCAATTAATTGGAGCAATTTCCCAAGTTCTGACTTGATTTAGTTTTTGAATGATTTATTGATGATGAATGATAATTATTTTAAATTAGTTAATCTGGGTAAATTTTCTTCCGTTGTTAATATTTTCTTCAGAAATCGAACTAATTTAACCATTGAAGTAATCGTAGTGTCTCATTACCCAGTTTTGAAACTAGCTGTTCCTGTTCCTCAACTTTTTCTGAGGGATTCTGTTTAAATCAATATGTAGTACCTTCTTATACTTCGATGGAAAATTTTTTTACAGCATCAAAGTTTGAAAGATTAGGTTTTCATGCTTTATATCATCTCGGTAGCTTCATTTAGCAATGCCATGTTTTCTTTATCAACTCTTTCAGCTAGGCACCTTGGGCATAAATATTTGTCATCAATTTTGTTTATGCTACAATCTCTAATTTATGAACTTATAAATCTTTTTCTCAATTTCCAAATTGATTGGCATAGAATATTTTAGTATATTTTTATTAATCAAAAATTTTCTCTCAATTAAAACATAAATCAAGATTATAATGAGAGAAATGATTTAGAAAATAATAGAATTCCTTAAAATTTGATAAATAATTTGTAAGAATGGACAATTTGCTTCATACAATAAAAGGAAAACCATACTTTACCTAACAGGATTTATTTGTAAAGCCATTTGAAAAATGAGCAATATTAAAATAAGTAAGTTGTAAATGAAAGAATAGTTTCATAGGTAGTCGTTGTTGACCAACTATAAAAAAAATCACCATCTAAATTCTATTTAGGTTATATTTTGAATTGTACTAAGAGAATGTTTGAAATTTGTAATATTATTAATAATCTAAATCAGGGCTCAAAAATAGTTATTGTTATGAAATATTTCTTGTTTAATGATCCTTATACTTAGAATACAAAAATATTTCAATATTTTCCTTTTTATTCAGCTAACAATATAAATAAACGAATCTTCAATTATAGCTCTTCTATGGCCGTTCGACTTTTAAAGTTAATGATTCGGCAAATAAGCGAAAAAATGAAAAATTGTTTTATCATATATTAATAATTTATAAAATTACATTCTATTTTTTCTATTTGTTAGTAATATTATGTAATTTTTATAATTGAGTGCTTAAAATTGTATTTATCATGAACTTCTTCATGCTCTCAAGAATTTTATTTAATTATTAATTCTAAGGACACAATTATTTCCTTTTTACTAATATAGTCTTTAAATGTATACCAAAATATTTTGTATTTTTGTTAAGATAGTGAAGAAATCTTTGAAAATTAACATTCAATAGATAGAATAGAATCGAAATGCGGGGTCCAAAAAATAATTTTCTTGAAATAAACCCCATGGTGTCGTTTAACTTGGCATTTCCCTATTATATAGGTCATATCTTCCACTAAAGAAAAATTGGATGAGTTTTTTGAATATCGGTAGAGGTTAAAAGGTAGACCAAACAACCTTTACCAGATTTATTGGATAAGTTTTAATGCTTCTCCTTAATATTAGAAACTAAGCGAATATAGCACACCTAAGGTATGAGGGCAAAAATACGAGGAAGATAAATGACAACAATTCGAAGGTTATTTCAAAGGGTAGCTAGAGTCCATAACAAGCATTTAGAGATAACTTAAATGTAAAATTAACAATGGATTATTTCGATTATTTCTCCATTCTATCCCCAGTTATGGAGATTATCTGAAATTTTATTTATGAGAACTGGATGATAATTGTAATAAGACCTTAATTATTAGAAGAGTAATTGTATGAAAATTAGGAATAATACGATATTATTTAATTATTTTGCATATTCTTAATGATTTAGAATTTACTCTTCTATCATTCCTTAAAATATTTTATTTTATTCATAGGAGAATAATAATGAAAGCTAATTGAATTTCATTATAATTAGGAAAATTTTCTCTTTAATTTTCCAAATTGGATTAAAACTAATTACTATTCTTTGCTTAATTTCAAGAGCTAGCTAAACAATATCCCCAATATTAAGTTAGCAAATAAGAATTTAAACTATAATAATATAGAAAAATATTTATTAGATATTACCAGCAAGAAAAAGCCTTGAATAAGTATATAGAAGCTGATTCATAAGAAAACAAGATTAGTAATTTTATCAATTCTATAAGTGACTCAAAAATTGTTTACGAATAATGAAATTATATTTTATAGGAATCTCATTAGCCGATTCTATTTTCATCAACCAAATTATAATCATACCTATCATCTAGTTGCTGATTATAGATATCAGGTTTATCAGGTGTTTACTAAATGTACCATAAGAGTTAGAGGAAGAAAGATATTTATACTTTTAAAGGACTGCATTCGTAAATTATGAGGAAAAGAAAAAGACAGCACTAAAGCATACAAAGTTAGAAGTATTAACTTTAAATACTTATCTCTAGTGTTCCAACTAAAATATAGATGTGGGTAGAATTAATAAATACTGGAGATTATACTGGAGATGTCCATAAACAGTTTGATGGTTTTGTTAAACCTTAAGGTATGGTCGGATGAATTCTCTTAGGATTAAGAATTTTCCAAATGTTTTAAATTTGCCAGGTATAGCATAAATCTCATTTTATTTCGGTTTTGTGAATTTTTTCAAAAATATTTGTAAAATATCTTAACTTATTTAACTCAAAGTTGCTTTTTCTCTTCTCTTCTCTTCTCTTCAAAACATTTATATTTTTCATCCTATTATTTCATTGAAATTATCCAAAGCAACTGCTTACAATAATAAAAATTGAAGTAGTATTTGATAATTAGTACTTCAATTTTAAATTATTAAATTAAATGTATGGATAATAAGTCGGTTTCCTGAACGTTGAAGGTATTATTTTAAATTTCTGTAATTTGATTATATCGAATCTACTAAGTAATAAATGTCGAGTAAAGAGGCTAGATAATGTCATTTTCTAGTTAATTATGTCTTTGGTTAATTTAGAATTCATTTTTGAACATTGCCTCATATCTTTGAAATCCAATATAGACCCTTCTAGAAGACTTTGTTTAAACCAAGCAATTTCCTTTGGAAATTTCTTTTTATAATTAGCCATTAAATGGTCGTTATCTGCAATATAACCAGATTTTTATCAGATTAGTGATAGCGCAAAAACAATCAATATGGATTCATCTCATCATTGCTAACTTTTAATAATTGATTAAACCCGTTTTTTTGACAATCTAAAGTTTGTGCTTCATACTCTTTAGCGTGAGCCAAATTCCCGGGTATTTAAGCCTTCTTCTTTAAAGGTTGTCAGTCCTCTAACTTGTTGATTTTGGAGAGAGAATTTGCATAGTCTTGTATTCCTTGCTAAACTATTGCTATGAAATGGTTGAAATGAATGTTAGAAAGTGCTTGACAGACTCTATAGTTTAAGCAAACTCTCTACTAGATGATAGGATCGAATATTCAGAGGTATTTTAGAAATTGAAAAAAAAATAAAATTATCCTAGAAATTCTCTCTATGTTTCATCATTAGAAACAGGATTTCTTATTGATGGATTTGTAAGCATTTGACAGGTCAAAAATATTACATTCTTAGAATCACAGCGCATTTTCATAAATAACAAAAAAATCCTGTTATGGTAACCTGCTTCCTTAAACACACTATTGAGCCAATTTATTTAGGGTGAAAATAGTTAATGATTACTTCTTTGAGTTTAGGAACGAAACTCGACCAAATAAACTTAATTAAATAATTTTAGGTCATAATTAGTCTTATTTCTTATACGATCTTGGTAGAATTTTTTTTCAAAGGTATCAGTCTTTAGGTTAAACGGGTATTCATTCTGTTTCTATTTCTGTATGTCAAATAATTTCATGTCATTTTCCTTTGAATCAGGTCGATTAAGTCAAAGAGATAACCTTTTAGTACAATTGTAAGTACTTATCCTCTCTTTTTATTAGTCCTTCAATTTTAATTTCTTTTATTTCTGATGTTCTTCCTTTTTTTATCTCAAGGATGACCTTGTGCCCTTTTTTAAAGTTTCCTCTAGTACTCCTCTTTTAAGTTGTGTAGGATAATTTTGTAATTAGTGATAAGCTTCTGATCTTCTTCGAGTTTATTTATAATCCTCCCTTTTTCATCCCTATTATTTGAGCGGTGCACTAAATAAACTTATGAAATTACTTCTCACTGTTACTTTCTATCTCCAAAAAACTTTTACCTAAAATCTTCGCCGCATTCTGTGAATTAAGGAGCTTTTGAACTAGATTAAACAGACTTCTACTATAAAACCTTAGAGTCTCATCTAAAAAATCTTCTAATTTGAACTTTCTAAATTCTAAAGTTCCCACTTATACTTTTGTTGTTCCAATAGCAGAATTTATTTTTGCCAGATTTTTATCTCATACTGAATACTTCATATTATCACCCCTTATGGTTAAGTTTCTTAAAATGTTTGATAAATTGATTGAAAATTCTTTTGCAATCAGGTTTCTAGTTACAAGTTTGTACAACTCCTTCAAATATACAATTTTGAGGAAATAAATCTTAGGAATATTCAGTGGTTGTGTAAGGTAATAATATTGTAATAAAAATGTAAAGAATATCAGTGTTATAAAGGAACTACTTTTTAAATCTCAAGGAATTATTTATTAAAATAAAGAAACATCAAAGAATTTTTTAAAGGAAAAATATTTTTGTATATTAAAATTTTAAGAAATCCAGATAATTTTTCTTTAGAAAGAGATACTAACATTAGGATGATTATTTTCTACTCTTTCAACTAAATATAATCTTAATTTAAGTCAGTTGTAACAAGGAAATTATTTAAAAGTATATTGAAATATTGTTTGCAGCTTATGAAGAAGTAATAATAATGTTTTTAAAAAAGAAATTGACAAACCTATAATGTTAATTAATAAGACGAAAAAAATAAGAGAAGTGTAACTTAAATAAAAGATAAATAACTATTAATAAATTAAAGTTTAAGCAATTGTATCATAGAATTTTAATATTAAGTTATTTAAGTCAATACTAATATGAACGATGTTTTGTATATCTTTGATATCTAAGCTGTTATTATTGGGACAATGCTAAAATAGTTATTACGAGAGCACACTATGTCTTCTTTTTATTTTTTTCGAGACTTTTCCAATAAAGAAAGCGATGGCATTCAATTTGAGAAATCCTTTCCAAATATGTCTTCCTCCTATTTCTTATTAAAATTAATTATTTTCAGATAAAATACAACTTTATTGGATAAGTGGAATTTAAAACTTATAAGTATAATTTCTAAAGAGAATAATCTGTCCTAGAAATAGATGAATATTAATATGAAAATTTTAAATTGAAATAACTTATTATATCTCAAAACATTAAAATAAATGAATTATATATTTAGTGATTTACAAGTGGCACTTTAAGGTTTAGAACAGCTTATTAAACTTACTCATCCTCAATTTAGGTTGATAATTGCATATCTATTTGTGGGCCTAAATCAACTTAAAATCAAATTTTACAATTTATTAAATTTGAATGATGATCATTAAGATATTTCCTGATAAAGAATATTTTAATATAAATAAAATATTACATCATGTGGATTGAAAAAGTTCAATGTAAGTTGAAATTTTTTATTTGTAAATTTATTTATAAATACTATAAAAATTATTTATTTCGGTCTTTGGTTGTGGGAGCAAATTTATTCATTCAAACAATTAATTGATATTTCAAAATAATTGCATTTAATCATGGCTTCACCATTCTAGAATAAAATGAGAAATGCCAAAAAAGTTATACATCTCAAGCATCTCTCAAATAATTTTAATACCTCTTTTAATGTACTTCTTTACTTCATTTAAAATTAAATTTTTATATCAATACTCTCCAGATATATTGAAATCACAAATAGACTTTTGCAAACCACATCTATATAATATATTAGAGAAATTTAACTTGTCTATATATTAGGCAAAGCCTTCTTAACCTCCTAATTTTGTACTAATTCTTATTCCAAATAAATTATTATTAAGGAACTTTCATAATGCTTAATTTATATATATATTCGAGTTATTTGACAAATGATTTGTTTGCAATATCTTATGTTTTTCAATAGCGATTGTTTGGTTATAAAATATTTCTCTTCTTTGGCAGAATCAAAGATGATTGATATTTTCAAAAAATCTCAAATGTAAGAAGTAAAGTAGAACTCAGCTACATCCGGGTT